ACAAAAATTATGAAATTTTTTACAAGAAGTTAGAATCCAATGAGGGAGACAAAGATATATATAAGCTTACTAATATTAGAGAGAGGAAAAGTAGAGATTTAGGTAATATTAGGTGTATTAAAAGTGAGGATCAAAGAGTTCTAGTGACCGACGGGGAAATAAAAGAGAGGTGTAGGGGTCACTTTTATCAATTGTTTAATGATAATCAAACAAGTGAGCAAAATAGAGATTTTGACCATATAGTGAATGATGGGAACTACAGATATTATCGTAAAATTAGGATTAGCAAGGTTAAAGATGCTCTAAAGAAAATAAAAAGTGGATGAGCCAAAGGAACGGACGATATTCCTATTGAAGTTTGGAATGTCTTGGAGATTGTAAAACCCCGTAAATTTAAATATATTATAAAAAATAATAATAAATGAGTTATATCATGATAAATATCATTTATTAATGGTTAAGTATGTTATAAATTGATTTGAGATCGATTCAATATATTTTTGTAAGCCAACGATGTAAACATGCACAAAACCATGCACAGACACAAAACTATAAGTCAATATGTGTTCTGGTCGGTCGACTGGCCTAGGCTGATCGGTCGATCGATGATACCCGACCGGTCGACCGATGCCTTGTGGCGGGTCGATCGACGGGCTTCCAGAGCTCCAGCGTTTTGTTTTCGGGTCGGTTTTGTTTGGCTTCGAGCCTAGTTGTATCCCTGAATATATATATACTCATTTTAAACATCTTTTGATCATCTTTCACGTGATATATCAGCAGCCACCTTCACTCTCAAACCCTAACCCTAGATTGTGAGTTTCTGGGAGTTTTCTTGAGGTGTTTGTCAAGAGGAAGATAGGATTTGTGATCTTGGTGAAGGAGGATCTTGCACGCACGTGTGTTTGGGAGTTTCAACACAAAATTTGAGGCAAGATCATCTTCCTCCAAACTTATTCCCTGTAGTAACTCATGTTTTAATGTGATCAATTGTTTAACCTAATGCTTAAAGTTTAATCTGATGTTTAGGGCTTAATGTTGATGATTAAAACCTAGTTCATGATGTTAAATCTTAAACCAATGAAAAGATCTATATTTTAAATCTTTGTTTAATAAGTATAGTTGATCATGATCATTAGGGCTGCTTTTAATTTATTAATTATGTTTTAGTTTGGATTAAAATCCTAGTTTATCAATTAATTGAGTGTTTTTGTTAATTAGGATGCTAAACCCTAATTATATATTTTTCAAGAGATGTAATCATGTTTAGGTTAACCTATGATAAACAATTACGAAAGTTAAAAATCTTGTGTTATGTTATATGTTAACAATAATATGTTTTTAAGAGAAATTATAAAATACAGGAACCTGAGAAAATCTAAAACAATGAAATCAGTCGACCGATCCTAAGTGATCAGTTGACTGACTGTGTCGTTCAAGATGTTTGAATCCTTTCTGGTCGGTCGACCGACTAGAATCAATCGGTCGATCGATATGGCCTTTTTCGTGTGCACTCTGTGCATGTTTTCCGTTGATCGACCGATGCCCTAGGGGCAGTCGACCGACACATATCTTTGTGTGTGATGATTGTTCCTTACGCGTTCCATCATGAACATGGGATTCGAGCCATACGATGATATACGTGCAACCATGAGCATACACGAATTAAGTCGTAACACATATATGGATATCCCGAAGAGGATTATTACATGTATTGTTTTGATCATGTTTAAGTTAACAATTAATTATAATATGTATGCATGTATGGATATCGTTGATGAGCATAGCTCAGTACTACTTGGGATAGTGCATCGATATGCCATTAGTACAGGCCATTGAGTCATGATTTTAGGATACCTAATGTGGTAGTCCGTCCAGCATAGTGATGCGATGAGACTAATGAGCTATGTACATATTTAGGATGCCTGATTTGGTAGTCTGTTTTGCATGATAATGTAATGAGTTATAAAGCCTTAAGAGATATTTTATTGTGATATATCTGATAGCCTGAGTCTTTGGTGGAAGCCATTTATGGATATGATTCATCGCTAAGTTATATTGTGACTGGATTACTTCACTTTTGGGAGTTACAGGAGATTTAGTTGTTGTATCCACATCATCTACCTAAGGGTAGCGCGAGTTATATGGTCAATATTTATGATATTACAACAACTTTACTTTTTTGTATTGTTTTCTTTTATCTTTTATTCTAGTTTAGAATTGATACTTAGTGATTCACAATTTGAGACATATAGTATATACATAAGGGTTTCCTTGTTTGGATTATTTCGTTCGACGTACTACGTCTCTTGTTGTGGGTTTCTAAATATTAATCCTATTTAGATACAGGGTAAACGATTTAGGTAGACTATGCATAATAGATAGAGCCTCCATCACATTTAGTAATCCTTCCCCTGGGGTGGTGAGGGGGGGGGGGGGGGGGGGGTGAATAGGATCAATGCTAATCCAATTCTGATTTTATACCAATTAAAAAATTACTAACAAATATATCCTAGCAATATAAATATTCAATTGAATTAAAGCAAGGATATATATTCAAAAGGAAAAAATAAACAAGAAACAATATAAACAAATAGTGGACACAAAGAGCAAACCAAACACAATAATATGACCACGGAGTTCGGTCCTTCCGACCTACATCTCCGCTCTCCACTCTCAGG